GAGGGAGCCAGGCCGCAGCGCCGCAGCCTCACCGGGCCCGGCCCGGCCCAGCCCCCCTTTCGGCACCGAGCAGGGAGGGGGGACGCATAACCGGTGCTCTGCTGCGTCTGCCCTTCAGACACCCGTCCCGCGTCCCGCCTGCCTGCTCCTGCCTGCTTTCAGCCTCGCTGCCGGGCCGCGGCAGGGCTGTTCACTGCGGTCTCTGGGTCACCCGCTCAGGCCAGAGCTGCACCACATGTCGGCTTCGGCAGCAACGCCAGTTTTAGGGATCCCTGGCTTCGCTCTTCCCTTTCCTCTTGGCCCGCAGGAGCAGCATGGCTCTCCGTGGGGCCCTGCACACACTGGACCCGCAGCCTGATCCAGGTGAAACATCACCTTTTTTCCTATGGTTATTTTGCTAGATCTGCATAGCTACCTCAACAGGTTTGTTTCTGGCTTCCTGGGGACAGGACACACCATGCTTCTGTGTGGGGTCAAAAGGAGTGCACAGAGGTGTTGTGGAAAGGTGATAATTCAAGAAATTACTGCTGACAACAACAAAAAAAAACAACATAAAAATGTAGAACAGCAGCTTCTGAGTCCTCCTCCCCATACTCATCTTCCTTTGAGATGTGATCCAGCACTGGGAGAACCAGTGGTAGTGATCCTGATGCGCCAGGAGGGGGTTTTAGCGTACTTTAAAACAACATTGTAGGAATGTGAGAAGTCAGTTTTATCTGTCAGCACCACGTATTTACTCTGCGTGTTTCATTAGCTGCTCAGTATTCCTTGGCAGCCAGACCTGTTGCCCAAAGGCACGGATGAGTTTGCAGCCAGTACCAGATTTTGCAACCAGAAAAGACACTCCGCCACGGGGATGCATCACCACGCGGCTTCCCAGGGAAGAGCTGTGCCACGGGGCATCGCTGCCTCGGAAGCTGACAAAATAAAATCACAAAGAAATGAACTGAGCCTACATCTGGTCTGACAAACCCTCTGCAGCTGCCAGGGTACATCCTTGCGAGGATGGAGAACGCTGGTGGAGCCCATTCCTGCATTTCATCCCTCCCCACAATGAGCACTGCGGCAGCAGGAGCCACTTCAGGGCTGAGGCTGGGCTCCCCGCCTGCTCTGCCCTTGGCTGTCCCTGAAGAGGCTCAGCACTCAGGTGGGCTTTCCCTCCCCCACCTCAGCTCTGTGCCCCCACCAAGCCAAGGGGACGTCATCAGAGCTATCTGCCACTCTTGCTCTGCCAGCAGGGACCGTGATCCGTGTGCCCCAGCTCCTGGCGGCAGTAGAAGAGGGAAAGACAAATGCTGTGTCCAAGGCCGCGCTTGCCAATGCCTTCCATTAAGGTCAAGGTGACTTTGTTTGCTGCTCTCTTGGTTGCAGCCTTTCCTCAGGGTGCCCTCCCGTGAGTGGCAGGGACAGGATAAAGCTGCAGAGATATCGGTATCAAACCAGGTTCTCAGGCTCTGCCTGTGCATTTTGCTGGGAGTCTCTGTGCCGTTGCTGGCCCGTGGACCGGGTGAGCAGCCATAGTCGCCTCACCAGTCCTGCCTCCAGCTCAACCTCCCGTATTTCTCCCCCCTGTCCCGGAGAAAGCAGTCAGAGCTCACCTGAGCCACCCGCAGCCCATCTCCTGCCCTCGCGAGCGCTGGGAACACCGCCTGCTCACGGGAACGTGAGGGCAACCTTACCTGAACCCAGCGCTGACCCAGCTTCGAGTAGGGGGTGAAGGAGCAACCTCCCGAGGTGCCCACCAACCCCAGTGTTCCTGTGATGCTAAACCTCGGCAGCCCCCCCTCCAAATCAGGGGGTGCTGAGCCCCCCAGGGAGCCAGGCCCTCGCTGCCCTCACCCGAAGCAGCCAAGAACTGGTGGATCTGAAGTCGGTGGACACGTCTGGCCATTGGGTAGCATGTGCTCCCGTCCCAGGGACTGATTCAGAGCTCCTGGTACTAAGGCAAAACAAATACCTGCCCCGATACTGTCTGCTTAGCTTAGGTCTTGCTCTGTAGCCGCAGATTCGGGGACATGGTGCAAAACAGAAGGCGTGACCAGCATGTCACCCCCACTGTCCTGCTGA